GATGGAGACCTAACTGTTTATTAACATAAGGTAGCAGTCATTCAAAAGAAACATCGTGTATAATAAGTTTATTGTATGGCCGATGTCCACGACTACGCTTACGTCTCTCAGTATTGTGAAAAAGTCCCATATATATTAAATAAATTGATTCCGTGACTTAAAAAAATGCTCCGGATAGATGTCAATTTTCGGACGGTGGCAACTATATATCGTGTTTGAAAGTTTAATTCATGACACCAAGGTATTGCTTTAAATGAGTAAAAAAAATAAATAATTCCGTTGGAAATAAAAACAGTAATCAAAAAAAAAAAAAAAAAAAAAAAAAAAAAAAAAAAAGAAATCCAGTGAAACTGAGAGCAGAGGAAACTAAAACAAATGGGTGGGATCTTCTGCTCTAGATAATTAAGTATCCTTGGTTTTCGGCAGCTGTGGTCATTGTCTTGATAAAAAAAAAAAAAATATCCACTATACTGGTGTAACTGGAGACAGACGAGTATGAAAACAACAGCTTATCAATTTGTGTTAAATACGCCAGTCAATATTTGACCAATAGGTGTAGAACAGGTCCGTATAACATAGAACGAAGGGGATGGGCTTTTTCTGAGTATAGTATTTTGCTATAGTAAACTTTCCTTTAGATGCTGGTTGCCCCTCTCCACCCCTCCTTTTTGTTGCTGTAAGGTCGAGCACTGGCAAATTCCAGGACTTGGACAGTTAAAAATGTTTTAGCTAACCTGAGCTGAAAGTTCAAGTGAGCTTTTCTGATCACACGTTGTCCGTCGTCCGTCCGTCTGTCTGTCTGTCTGTCCGTCCGTTTATAAACTTTTCACATTTTCAACGTCTTCTCAAGAACCACAGGGCCAATTTAACCAAACTTGGTACAAAATATCCTTGGGTGAATGAGAGTTTAAATTGTTAAAATAAAGGGCCAAGTCCCCTTAAAGGGGAGATAATCAAGAAAAGACAAAAATAAGGTGGGGTCATTAAAAATCTTCTTCTCAAGAACCACTGGGTCAGAAAAGCTGAAACTTATGTGGAAGCATCCTTGGATAGTGTAAATTTTAAATTGTTCAAATCATGACCCTCTGGGGTAGGGCGGGGCCACAATAGGGAATCCAAGTTTTACATTGAGATATATAGGAAAAATCTTTAAAAATCTTCTTCTCCGTAACTACTGGGCCAGAAAAGCTGAAACTTATGTGGAACCATCCTCGAATAGTGTAGATTCTAAATTGTTCAAATCATAAACCCTGGGGGTAGGGCGGGGCCACAATAGGGAATCCAAGTTTTATATTGAAATACATGTATATAAGAGAAATCTTTAAAAATCTTCCTCTCAAGAACCACTGGGCCAGAAAAGCTGAAACTTATGTGAAAGCATTCTCGGGTAGTGTAAATTCTAAATTGTTCAAATCATGACCCCCGTAATAGGGCAGGGCCACAATAGCGAATCCAAGTTTTATATTGAAGTATATAGGAAATATCTTTAAAAATCTTCTTCTCAAGAACCACTGGACCAGAAAAGCTGAAACTTATGTGGGAGCATCCTGGGGTAGTGAAGATTCTAAATTTTTCAAATCATGACCTCCGGGGGTAGGGAGGGACCACAATAGGTATTACAAGGGGGGAAATTTGGTAAAGAGCAGCTTGACCAAAGTTACTCAGGTGAGCGATGTGGCCCATGGGTCTCTTGTTCTTTGATTGTCAGATTTTTTGGAGAAGTTAGCCCCCCCCCCCCTCCTCCCCGCACACAAACTTTTGAAACCCTTGGTACGGGCCTGTAGAATTTGCAAAATGTTGATAACTCTACAATATCAACTTATTCATCATTATCCTGTCTTGATTTGGAAAATAGATCCCACGCAGAACATGCTCTTGTTTATCTAATCAACTGGAAGCCACAAACACCATATGTATATAGACCCATATTAATATACATGAAGCAATAATGGTTTTTTGCTACATGCATATTAATATGGATGTTGACAAAAGAAATCTAAATTATCACATATTTAACTTGTATGCCAATACTAAAGTTTATGTATGAATTACATATTCATCACAGACCATATAACTCTTGTTGCAGCTGTAAACAGCTAACCAAATATATATATATATATATATATATCTATATCTATATCTATATCTATATATATATATATATATATATATATATATAAAATAATAAGGGTTATACCTAGCACCCGTTATAATCTATTGATAAGATATATATTTTCACATCCTAGTCTTTCCCTCTACTTTCATTAAACCAGGAATGAATATAATTATTATTAGGAACTGCTGTTAAGAATTACATTTACTAAATGGGGGATTGATAATGTTACTGATCTGACCACAAACAATATTTCGATTTTATGTATAGTCAGTGCAATATAAATTCATCCCTCAACTCAGTTTGACATAGGTCCTAATCAAGCCATGTTCTCTTGCAGGTACATAAATATGTGGATTATTGCATTCGTGCCAAAGTCTAAAGTCATTATATCCAATTAAATGTTTCTTCTTTGTATTTGTTTTTATCATAAGAAATTCCAGCTACAACAATCATGCTTTGCTACACAATACAAAATGATAATCGGTTTCATGAAATGCAGAAAATCATACTGAATAACATTGAGCCCATGCAAAAAGGACCTTAACGAAAATTTTTCTATAGACATTTGCTCTCGGGTCACTTTTGCTGGATCTATGTCTTACAATAGTTCTATGAACAAGGAAAAAATCAAACAAACAGACGTGTACTTCAAATTCATGTATGAGGATTTATTTTACACTTGAAACCTTTACATTTTTAGCAGTCTAGTCTGAAACTGATTTCATGAGTAGATTACTTTCAATCGCAACTTTTCGGGCCTTTCCGGCAAACTTGGAAAAACACCTAGAATCTATTTCTATAATCGGATGGAAAAAAAAAATAATAGAAAACGGAGATCGACGCTCTGTCTTTATTAAAACATTGGATAGACAGAAATGAGTGGCCCTTCTCTGGTATATTTTATGTAATATTTTTACATTCTCCAAACTCTACGATCTTGCCAGAAAGGCCCGAGAAGTTGCGATTGGATTACATTTAGTACTTAAAACAAACAATCATTGTGTCATTCAGAAACTATAAAGCTGATATAATGTTCTCCAATCCCTATTTACATTTAATTTTTTTTTTCAAAAAATGGTAAATAACTGGCTAATCTAAATATTATATTTTTCCTAGAATCTAAAAATATGTTCTTATTACTAAAATAGAATTCATCAGTTTTATTCATGAAAGCATTATGAAAAGCATTATGTATACACAGTGATATTTACGCTGATCTTTACGCTCTTCAACCAATGCACAGTTCTCATGATCAATCAAACAAATTTATTTAGTTAATGACTGGAGATATTTTAGATAGTATTGCAAAGCTTTTTTTCTGTTTTTTTTTTTTTTAAAATCTGGAATTGTAAACTAAGGTAGAATGTACTAAAGTTTTTTTTTAAATTCCCGTCTGCAAGGAAGACAACTTATATCTGTCCATCGATGGCGTACAATAAGTATGTTTTTCTGCACGTAGCCTCAGTAGTGTATTACGATATTAAAAAGTTGATAAAGCTTAAAATAACTATAAGTTGTAGATAAAAAAAGAACCTCACATCCTATAATGTAAGTATTGTCATAAAAAAGATTGTTATCACTAAAATATAAACACTTTAACCCTTCTTAACACTTTTATCTCTGTATAATATCTTCCCTCATTCTCAGATCATTGAGATTTGAAAATAGCTCATGTTGTTACAAACGGAAAGACACTAAGCACATACTGCACGCTCTTTGTTGACAATAATACTATTTTTTTCAATATTCTCTAAATAAGAAAAAAAAAATATTGAATATTTTTAGAAATCGAGGTTTAAAATTCGTAAAAAAAGGAGATTAAATCTATGTTTTTAAATTTTGATTTAAAAAGTTCAATATTTATTTATTTATTTATTTTTTATTTTTTTTTTTTTTTTTTTTTGATCGCTTAGTATATAGGAGTCGCCTGTATTTTAACATTTTTTCCTGGCGACTGGGAAAGTAAAGTCATTCCTATTCAAAACTTTATTTTCTTCTCTAAATAATATATCTTTAAGTCAAATAGGATTGTTGTATTTAGTGAAAATAACATACGATTTTAATTTTTTTTTTCGTGGTATTCTCTTCTATACGTATTTGCTTGTTTTACTGCTCATTAATTAAGAACCCTCTATACACTTCACACAAAAGAGTTCTGATTTTCTGGTATTTTTCTGCAGATAGAGTAATCTGCCCTTTGATGTAGAGTAAAATAAATTGAAATGTACAGTTTATTTCTTCATTTTTTGATACAATCAAGAATTAACGACATTTTAATTGTCCAAGATACATAGACTGAGCACTTCATTTGCAGGTATTTTACCCACAAAAATTAACAACAGTGATTTCTGTTCATCACTACTTAAATGTCTTTCAACATTTTTCCTGGGGATAAATGCAAGGTACCCTATGTTGAAAATATAATAGATTAGCTCAAAATTTACAACTTTACACACTTTGATTTTCTCAATATCCAAACAATATTCTCGTTTAGTATATAGAGAGTCCTTAATAAAAAGTAAATGGAAGATCGATTCAAACAGTGGCTATTGCCACTAATATAAAAATAAAATAAAAAAAAATAAAGATTTGCTTATTTTTTGTAAATTTAGATTCCAAGTCATATAATATGATTTAAAACTCTTCTTTTTATGTAAATAATAATAATAAAACAAAACAAAGGTTTTTTTTTTTTTTAATGACTGGATAAAAGAGAAAAAAATATTAGTTTTATCCTCTTGTTTACGTGACTACAAGTAACATTTCGATTGGTTAACAATTATTTTCACGCCCCACTCTATATGACATACAAAATCATAGAAAACGATTTTGGTAAAATCATTTATCTTTGCCACAGTTGATTTGCCCCTCCTCAGACTCCAAGATGAATGTTCTATGTGTAACGTACGTGGTCTTCCTGTTATCCTCAGTTTTGAATGCGAAAAAAGGTAAACTATGTAATTTTTAAGTATAAAATAAATGATTTTTACACCCTAAACTTTGTAACCTTATATACATGTAAGGTTTTGGAATAAGTAAGAGATCACAAAGTCCTAATATAGTTAAGATACTTAAAGGACTAACAAATTTTCATAAAGAACGGAATAAATACCTAGGAACTGAATACAATGGCGATCTCTATGTCCAAAATTAAATTCAGAAGAATTATGCTTGTTTATGTGACATATCCTACAATTATACTATTTAAATTACCTTTAACATATTATAAGGTATTTTGTTTAAACATACATTATGTATTATAATTGTTTTTACTTTTAGTGTCTAAGTCTGGTACTTCAAATGTTGGTCGGAAAAGATTGAAGATATTCAGTAAAATCCAAAAAAGTCTAAGCGAAGAATCCTTGAACAAAGGTAGGGTAAAAAAAAAAAAAAAAAAAAAAAAAAAAAAAAAAAAAAAAAAAAAAAAAAAAAAAAAAAAAAACCAACACTGCAGGATACTATGGTACTTAGTTTTATCGGAGGATCGTAATATACATATATCGAAATACCATGACTGCAGGTTCAATTAGTTTATATCTTTGCAGAATATATCAGAACAAAATTCAAGTCACAGACCTGGATTTAAAGGAAAGGAGAAGGGGGGGGGGCTCCAATGGAGATCAGTACATCCCCTGGGATTTTCTAAATTATTAAGCTTATTTAATGAAGTAACTAAAAAGTTACCTTGAAATCACCCTCCTCCTCGAAAATTTTCTTGTCGTTTGGACATGTTTTCACTTTTAGTTCATTGTAATGCCCCCGTATCGAAGATTTGGAAGTATATAGTTTTTGCCCTATCCGTCCGTCCGTCTGTCTATCTGTCTGTCTGTTTGTCCGCAAAAAACTTTAACATTGCCCATAACTTTTGGTTGATTGGAGCTATGGCTTTCATATTTCACATGTGTATTTTATGTGAGAAGACCTTTCCTTGGGTACCGTCATATTTCACCTTTTGACCTTGACCTTGGAGTTTAACCCAGTTTTGCAAAATTTTACCCAACTTAAACTTTGGCCATAACTTTTGAACAACTGGAGCTAGGTCTTTTATTCTTTGTATGTGTAATCCTTGTGACAAGACCTTCCTTTGTATACCAATAACTTTGACCTTTTACCTTGACCTAGGAGTTTGACCTTCTTTTGATAAACTTTTAACCTTGACCATAACTTTTGAACAGTTGATGCTAAGGCTTTCATATTTCACAGGTACATGTACATTTCTCGAGACAAGAATTTACTTCAGGGAACCAACATATTTGATTTGCATTTGAGAAAGTTTAACTTTGCTATAAGTTGCCATACGGGGGCATCAATGTTTTTTTTTTTAATTTGTTAAATTATTTATTTTTTTTTTTTTATTTGTCAAAAATTTCTGACTTCAATTTTTTTCATTGTTATACATTCTCCCTAGGAAAAGTTACTGGCTCCGCCAATGTAGTAGCAAATTTCAATGCTATATTAGTTATCGGATCTAGTTTCTTTTTGAAAATTACAAACGTATGGAAATTATTTTGAAGATAATTGCCTAATACTGAAAATCAATTACATTTTTTAAAATATATATTACGTATTACACAGAGGGAGCGTTTTGCACTCAAGATTTCAAACACATGAGGATCAATTATTAGTTCATTTCAAACGCATCAAATCCGGGAAAAATAATCTCAGTG